TACCTATCGATAAGGATATGATCGATTTGGTTCAGTGTTGACCCGTCAGGTGTTCCATGTTTCGTCGTGGATTTTCTTCTGAGGGAAAAGAGTACTGCCGATTGTAAGATCACGAGAGGTAGCAAAATTTATAAGCTTTACGCTGTTGTCACTACTTGACTCGTGCAGACTATGTTTATCTGTAGTTGGGTGAAAAAATATTGTTTCTTTGCATTGAAGTCACCTGTGATGATTTTCATATCATATTGTAATCAGTCATTTTTTCGCACATGTTTATGCAATCTTCATCAAACCACGGTTTGTTATTCTTATTTTCTTTTTTCCTAGGTACGAGTTACCGATCGCTTTAATATTATCCCTGATCTCTACCCATTGCTTGTCAATATGGTCTAGGTCCTCGTCAGAAGGTTCTAAAGCTTCAAACCTATTCTTACCATCTAGCTGGAATTGAGTTCTGATTGATGGATTTTTTAATTTTTCCAAATTAAAATTCTCGAAATCGAAACGGTTTTCTTTTCTCTTTTTTATATGAAGTTTTTGTCAAAGTTTTGCGATTACTAATTCATGATCCGACCCACATTCTGCTCCGCCATAAGACCGTACATTAATTATACTGCTTTGCCAGCTATGTTGTATCAAGACATGATCAATTTGATTTTGTATTTGCGAATCTGGTGGTATCCAGGTGTAATTTTGAATATCCTTATGTTTAAATATAGTACAGTACTTTTAATTATCAGGTTTTTCGAGATGGAAACATTTATCAAACGGATCCCATTATCATTACTATATTCGTGTAAACTTTCTTTACCAATCGTCGGAACATAAACTTCTTCCCTCCCTACCTTTGCGTTGCATCACCTACAATTATTTTCATGGAGTTTCACGGTAGTTTATCATAAACCCATTTGAGTTTATCGTAAAATTCGTATTTTATTTCATCGCCACTGTCTTCGGTCGGACAATGTATGTTTATGAATGCGATTTTAAACCAACGTCCCTGAAATATCACTACCGAAAATGTACCACTAAAGAATTGTACGTCACTCAAAGGGGATAAGAATTTATTCCTAATTAGAAACCAGGTACTTGAACAATGATTACCGCTTCCTCCGTACCAAATAGTGTACTTTCCTTCCTTCATCGTGCCCTCCCCTGGCCAGAGAACCTGTTGCAGATCCAAATTGTACCCATTAACCTCATTTGCAACCAATTTTAACCCCCCTGCTGAATTGAAACTTCTTACCTTCCACATACCAATATTCAACTTGCGCCATGATTCTCCTAAAGCAGTTCCCACTGGGAGACCCGAATTAGGGACTAGTTTACCTCTGGATAATGAGCATTTTACCTTAGGGAGATCCATGACTGTTTGTGTTGTGGGGCTAAAACACTGTCAATTAAAATAAATAAAGAATCTGAAGTGTGAAACTTCACAAATTGGTGTACATTAAAAAAAGTACACAATATTTCAGAAGTAAAATAATTACCAAAATTGCATTTCCTATAAGTTAAATATTATTAAATTACTAATTATTAATCATCCTATCCTGCTAGTATTTTTCAACTTGTAGGCATCCCCTAATTAAGAGAGCAATAGTCTAACTACCCACAGGGCTAAATATAAGTTGTATGAAATTGTTGGATATAGCTTTATCAGAACTTATAATACTATGTTTTGTGCATTTATAGAATTTGTTTCTTTGATGATAGCTGGTTGTAATTTTACAATATTAATTTATCATGTAATTTAATTAAATTTATCAAACATTTTCAATTAATTTTTCCTTGTAACTGACAATGATCCAGTTTTAATCTAAGAACAATTTATTATTGAACCATTTAATGTGGTGTAAGTAAAAAAGTGAAGCTTTTACTTATCTTCTCGTTCTTCTTTCTCTAGGAAGCTTCGGTTTATATTTTTAAGGTTAAGGCAATTGAACTTCCATTTTTTCTTTAATCATTTTTAATCACATTTGACGTTTCGGAATAATTTTCCCATCTTCAGTGATTCCTTTATATTTACTGAAAACACATGTTTAAAGTGAACTATTATTAAATTTCTAATTTACTCTGTTTATTGTTTAGTTATTTACCTTGACTTTTAAATGTGGCACCAATTGTCAAAAATTACAATAACTGTCATATCTATATTTAAATATAACACTTTTTTTGGTGTTACGCATGGCATTGGTCATTTTCTATATATAACTATACCACCCAATACTTGGTTATTTCAAGTTCCATTATTGTACTTTGCTCTTGTCCACTTATTCCTCATTATGGCTGTTTGAATTTGAAACAGTATCTGTATCTTATTTCTCTATAACATTAGCTTTTTCGAGAATTAGAGACATAAGAAACTTTAACTCCTCCCCATAAAATATTTTTCTTTTTATATCATTCATCTTGGATTGAAAAAATATTTAAAAACATATAGTAGATTTTATTATATTTTTTTATTATATTTGAACAGTCCAGTTACCTTCTTTACTTACACGATATTTTAACACGCTGCCAATTTTTAAGAAAAGAAGTTGTATATCATAATCCGACTAATATACAACTAGTTCTATGAAGTGGAGTAGAGAAAATAATGTTCTCAATAAAAATTTTCCTTTTTAGCTTTTATTCTACCTCTTAAATACTCACTATAGTTTGATAAAATAGTTTGAACCAAGAAGTTTCATTTCACTAGATTTTATTTAGGTAGAAGTATAATAATAACAAAAATAATAATTTTAGAACTATAATAATAGCAAAAATAATAATAACACGATAATTACATTTTCTCGCAGTTAAATATAAGTTGTAGTTCATGGGAGAGTAAAGGGGAAGTTTGTGAATCATGAAGGGCCCTTTATATCCCCTAAATGTTCTCTATACTAAAAGGGAAATTGAAGGGGTGGACTCTGACCACTGGCGTTTTAGGGATAATAAGTGAATAATGGAGTATAACTATGCATACCACCAATGGTGTTGTAAATATGTTTTATATGTTCTTCTACAAAGCTTATATCTTTTATTTTTGATTTTTTGAAAGTTTTACATCAACTGTAGCAATTTTGTCTATTTTTTAAAGCAAATTATCAATGATAAAAATGAAAATTATATAGGCCAATGTTAGGAATCTACTTTTATATATTTTTGTTCCTTCCCTCTACATACTTTCTCATCATCAGTTCCTATCTTACTTATTTAAGAACCTATCTTACTTGATTTAAAATAAATTCTAATAAATCCCATATATTTAGTTTTACTTTTCGGCGTAAAACTATGACTTCCTACAGCATCCTTTAACAATACCTCACTTATTCCTGTTGAACAAATCCGGTATTTAGACTCCACCTGGGCTAATGTTTAACTTGGAATCCTCATACAAGATTGAAACGACAAGAAACAGCTCGATGTTTCTGCTTACTCCAACACTTACTAGACAAACGATCTAAGTTTCCAATCAATTACAAAAGACTCATGTACATGACTATTATAAGACCTATTTGAACTTACGGAGTTGAGCTATTTAGCTTTACTAAACCATCAAATTCATCTTGTATCTAATCCCTACAATCCAAAATCCTTCATGCTCCTTACTTTGTCACAATATATAAAATAATCCATAAAACCTTAATGACCATATGTTGTCGATTTTTTCCAATTCAGATACCTATCCTTCCATAATGAACTTCGTAACCATCCGAATCCTCTTGTTTCTAACCTTGCTTCCTCTTCGATTCCTGATAATCCTCCGAGGCATCTGAAAAAAAGATGGCCGCGTGATCTCCTTTTGTAGACATATTATTAGAATGCTACCAGTGGGTAAGTTTCAACAAACGTTTTCATATGATTATATTTCTGTGTATACATTTACTTGATGTATTATATTAATACAGTTGTTAATATTATAAATAAAATTTAAAAAAAAATATATTTTCGTTAATGTTACATGGAAAGTAATGTTAATGTTAAATTGTTTGGAAACAATAAATCAATGTATAAGGAAACATATAAGAATAACTCAATTGTGTTTCACAAATCATTTTTATTCTTTTGTATTAGATATGTATTTTAAATTAAGTTTATGCATTTTAATAAAACTAAAGTTACATTACTACTCATGTACAAAACATAAATTATTTTTCTATTAAAAGAAGAAGGGAAGTAATCTCTGATTGATTATTCACTCACTAATAAAATTCACTCTAATAAAATTATTCCCAATTTATATTTATTGATGCAATATTCATGAAAATAGATAAAATATTGTATGAGATTACTTGTTAAACACCATAGCATACCATTTAACCACAATGTTATTTAAAGTCATTTATTAATAAATCAAAAGCATAATGATGAGGCATTTACTAACTCATATGAAGAATACAAATAACTGTAGATATTGCTCTAATAAATAATTTCCAAAATAGTTGCCTATCGCATTGAATATTAAATAAAACTATCATCTCATCTTATAATATATAATTACTATATCTTATACTTATAATATCTGCTTCATAATTTCGTATTAAAATATTAAGTTAATTTGTTTAATAAAAAATGAAGACAAAACAATGAGTCCTCTTCACAACAACAAACAAGTAACTAGTGTTCATCCTAATAATACTTCTATTTTATTAGTTGTAAATTGCAGATTTTGAATGTTTGTTAATGTTCTACTGCCAGGTATTTTTAATGATGACAAATATTTGAAATACTTCTTTTTAATCTTAATATAAATATAAAAAGTTAATATTACTATTTTCTTAGTATTTTTAATAATCTATGTAAGGGGTTTTCAAACCTTTCCACCCCATAACCACCCCTAGTCTATGTTAATAAATATGTTTTACTTCTTTAGAATCAATAGAAGTATTCAAGAATTGAGAATTGACAACATTTAAAGATAAATGAATAATTTGATTGTTTAAAAACCATGAGTTGTTGGTGAGTTTATTGGTGCCAAAGTATTTGTCTTTATTTATTTATCCTTTTTGTTTCAGCTTAATAATTGCCTTTTGATTGAGATTGGTGAAGTACATTTTGCTCCAGATAACATTATTCATCCTTATTGCAATAAATTTGAGAAGGCGAAATGTGAAATGAAGTGTAATAATGAAATAATCGAAGGATTAACTAAGAATCCTAAAATTAAAGATAAAGATGCAATTGGATTGTACCAGTTCTGGCTTTTTTGCATTTCACTTGTAATTGGCTGGGTGAGCATGGCAGTAGTTGTGAGCATTTCTGATGCCATCTGCTTTGAACTGCTAGGTGAACTAACTTTACAATATATTATTCTTACAAAGCCCTAATTTTATATTTGGACTATGATAGATTTTTAAAAAAAATAGTATTGTTTGTTGATTTTAACATATATTTCATCTTATCATAAATTGTATTGTATATATCATTTTATATTATATTTATTAATATTTCCATTATTATCATTTTCATCATTTATTTTATTTTCTTTGAAATATTCCTTTCATAATTGATTAACAATGAAATATTCAGATGTTTTGTTTTGGTCTTATTTTTATATCTGTTCTTTCTATTGACTATATGACCCACAAAGTTGGTCCTGCTTCAGCATCTTTTTTTTTTTTTTTTTGTTCTTCCCTAACTCGCCTTTTAGGCTGTACGGGATTTTTCCTGGCCGGAGGGTGAGGGCGGAGAATTTAAAATCCCCTCTGGCAACGGGACACAAACTTGTACTTTTTAAATCTTCTCAAATCTGTAATCCGGTTGCCAGGCACTCGCGGTGCTGTGCACATGCTTTAGCCCATTCGGCCACCCCGCCCCCACCTGCTTCAGCATCAACCGCCAGCTTTCTCTTTCGAGTGCTGCTACCGTTCAATTACAGCTATCAAGTAGTGGTCGAACAATGAAGCGACCCATTCTTCCCAGTGAAATAGTGGTATGTCTTAGTGATGAGCTTTGAACAGAACATTAGCTGGAACACTTGTAAGGAATCTTAGCTTCTCCCATCCTCACATGTCTGGCCCAACATAACCTTTCTAGTTTGATATATTGGATTACATCAACTTCATAATGTATAGCTTTCAGCTCTATGTTAGTGAAAAAATGACCCATAACTTCTTTTAACAATTTTTAGTGAGGGTCTATGTTTCAGAAGCAGAGGTAAGTATGGGTCCATAACCTTTCTGGATTCACGGCCCTCACTCATTCAACAAACATGGCCGAACCACCTGAGCAGTCTTTTTTTCAAGGGTGGATTTTAGTGCAGGAATTTTCAGCTCCTCCCTAATCCTTTCATTTCTTACATGGCCTCTTCTGGTTTTCTCTGCTACTGTATCTCAGAACTTAATTTCAGCTCCTGTTGGTAAGAGTGGGGAGGTATATTGATTTTTAGATATGAAGCTTGGTTTTATGCACCATATCTGTATGACCAACAATGTTATTGCCAATATTATAATTGATTTTAGCAATTCTATTTACTATTAACCAATCTATTTTACCCCGTCTATTCGTGTTCGTGCAAGTAGTTGAAGTTCTCAACCACTTCAAGAACCTCACCATAACAGTCCACCTCCATTGTCTCATCTTCATTTCGGGAAAGAACCAGCACCTTACTGTTAGAAGCTAAGTCCTCCTAACCCTTTTCGCTAAGTTCCTCCTGCCATTCCAGTAATGCTTGCTGCAGTTTCTCTTCATGAGTTTGGTTTCATAGGCCAGATATGAACTTTATTAATCCAAATTTTTAAGAGCTTCAATATAAGGTTACTTTGAAGATGTTTCTGTGCCGGTTTGTAGCTTCTGATGTCATTCATATTATTCACCTGTGATCCAAGGTATATGAAATCCTCAACCTTTTCAATCAGCTGTCCTTTTTATTATGTTTCCTACCTGATTAGATACTGTGGAAGGTATTTGGTTTTAGTAAATAACCCTTCTTTAGCAGCAGCGTTCTTCTGTCCTCTAAATGCATTCTGAATAGTCTCTAATGACCTTCCACTGATATCGAAGTCGTCAGTACATGCGAGAAGTTTTTTGAGGTGATTTATCAGTGTACTGTATCTATGCATCTTAGAATCTTTAATGGCCTCAAGTCCGCAGTTAAAAACAGACAAGTTAGCCCATATCATTGCTGTACCCCCATGCCCATAGAAAAATCACTGGACATCTTCCATCATTATCCTCCTGATGCTAACAAGCTCCACTAACTTTTGGATGAAATTCATAACAGCGATAGCTTAATATATTTCTGATAATTAATAGTGTATAGGTTTATTTAAAATCACAAATATGTGGTATAATCTACATTCCTTCAATTATAGAAGTATCTGAATAGTGTATATCTGATTAGTAGTTGATCTACTCCTCTGAAAGTCATACTGGTACTTATCTATTTCTCTTTCAGCTTTGGGATAATTCTCTTATAGAGGATTAAGGAGAGAATTTTATAAGCTCATGATAAGAGAGAGAGAGATTGTATGATAGTTGTTGCATAGCAAGGTTATCACCCTTTTTGTGTATTGGACTGATCACCATCTTTTTCCACTCCTGCAGAAGTCTTTCTTCTGTCCAGAAATCATGGAGAAGGCCTTGGAGGAACCAAACAAGCTCCAGGCTTCCATGTTTCGGTAGTTTTGCAGGTATTTTATCTATCGCAGGTTATTTATTGCTCCTAAGCTTATGTAGTACCTCCTCTATCTCTTCCTCATTTGGGGAGGGGAGAGGGAGTTCAAGTGATCTTTCATGAATTTATCCTCAATGGCTAACTGATACCTCCAGCTATCTGATATCATTGATATCTGTTCTCTTTACTATTAATGCGGACTTCCTACACAATTAAGAATTTTAATATAGTTATTAATCCAGGTTATTAAAGTTATTATTCCTCCATTAAGTTGTTAAACTAATATAATAATTAGTGTTATATTCAGCCTTTAACTATCCTGAATTGTTATCTTACATCCAATCTGTTTGGGTTGCTTGATCATTTTTTTTATATTTTTCAATTTCAATTTTCTTATATTTATTCAATCAGGTTGCTTTTTTAAAATTTAAATATGAGGTTGACCTGATTGTTATCCACTTTGAATCAGTCGACTTTCTATAAAATTCAAAATAATTGGTAAATTTACAATTTCTGTAAGTTTAAAAAATTGGCATGTTAAAAGGAAAGAGACCTTGAATGAAAAGTCTTCCCTATATTGGTTTTTAAAACAATAAATTCTGAATATTGGATGGAAATGTCAAGTTTTATGGAAAGTTGGGTTTAGGATATTGAATATTAAAATAAATAAACAAAATCGTTTACCACTACAACCCATGGAGAGTCTTGGCTTCAGTGCTATGTAAGGAAATACTTCTTCATACTTTTTGGTCAACGGTTGTGTATGGAGGTGATTTGACGAGATCCTGCTCCTCAACCACCAGGTTCTCCCCCATAATTAATTAATTATGATTATCTACTCTATAGAGGCTGGGTCTTCTGACATTGGGGTCAATACATGGCTAATGAAATAGAATACATAATTACCTGCCATTTAATATTTAATCACTAAAAAAAAAAATCAGTTAATAGGCAAATAACTTAGTAGAATCTTTTGGTGGGCATGTGCCTAGTAATAACCTTTCATTTTTTAAATAAAAATCGACAACTTATGATTCATTATTTCACAAAATTGAAAGAATATTAAATAAATTAAAATGTTGAAAATAAATTTTAAGATTGTATATTTGACAAAGTTATGTAATGGGAGGCAACTTTGGCAACTCCTCACTGAGGAGAACTATCTGGCCAAAGCTCTATCCAATAGGACCTCCATTAAGTTGTTTGAAGATAAGCGGTCCATTTGGAAATGTGCCAATAGTTGATTCAGAATCCAAGAGTTTCAGAATCTTCTTATCATGCGTGAAGAAAGTAAAATTGATTGATAGTACTTCAACAAAACAAAATTGTTGATAGAAACATGATTGTCTTCATCAATGGCTTAATTCGTGCCAATCACCTTGATCTGTAGTTGTTTTTAGGAATTTTATTGGATGTGACAATATCATATCGTGAGATTTCCTGCTTTATATTGATAATTATGAATAGTAGTAATATTATTAATGTTTTTATTTACATACTTATATAATGTATTTCTTGTACAGGTGATTTCCCTTCAAAGTATGGAAATCAAAGGCTGTGGGGATCTTTAGGATGGGGTTTGTTTTCATCTGCAGCTGGTTATATTATTGATCATTTTAGTGGTTCATCGACATCTAAGAACTATAAACCTGTTTTTATATTAATGGTTGTAACTCTGTTGAGTAATATAATTGTGGCTTATAAACTAAAAGTAAGTTATAAAATTGGATTATTTTAATATTATATATATTGTTTTATTTTTATTATAAGTAGTTTTGTTTTAATACTATAAAATAATTTAAAAAAAGAAAGTGAAACTTTTGAGTGAGTAATGCATTCCTCACCAAATAGTTAATGATATATTTGTGGTTGTTGGGGTATATTTTGTATTAGATTTAGAAGCCAAAAAATATTTCATTATTATTAGGAAAATCAATATATATATACTCTGTAAAAATTGATAATTTCTATAAGTATTTTAATGAACAATTTTGGATTAATTATTGAATGAATGATTCTTTTATTAATTTTTTTTTGTGTTCTAAATTATAATTTATAATATTATGTTATCCATTTATGTCTATTGATTTAGTATAAACAAGTGAAATCCTCAGCGAGTATAGTCAATGATGTTGGGAAACTACTATCAGAAGGACGAGTTATTGTATTTTTACTGTGGTGCATTAGTATTGGCATGTGCACAGCAATGGTCTGGAATTTTCTATTCTGGTAATATATTTTATTTTATAGTTATTTTGATTTTTAAAAATATACCAAGCTTCATTCTATCAAATAATTCTCAAGTTTTGGTGTTCAACTTGCAATCTTCATTAATAGGATAGAAAAAGAGTTTGTTGGCTGATTTGCATAAAAAGTGCTCCTACATTGCCATCAAGAAACATTCTTTCTAAAGTTTATTTAACAGCAGTCCCTAATTTGTTTCCTTTAAACATAATCTGATTTAAAAAATGAATTCTCATTGTTTTACTTAAGTCAAATCTCAATAATGATAAGTAAAGTATATTTTCTTTTTCTAAAACTTTTGGATAATGTTATTTTATTTAATTTTTATAGAATTCTGTTTCTATGTTCTGATTAATTTAACAAATTTAGTTTTATCTATGATATTAAATTCATTTTATCTGTTACTTGAAAAATTACATTTACTGACTGTAATAACCTCCTCAAATAATTTGAACAATCCATTCACATAAATTTTATATTTAACAACGTGATAATATTGATAGGTATTTGGAAGACTTAGCTGCTAAGAATGGTTGCGGAGCTCAAATGTGGATAAAGACGTTGGAAGGATTAGTTATGTTGATTCAAACATTTGGTGGCGAATTGCCATTTTTCTTTCTCTCAGGTAATATTACAGATGTACTAAATAATTAACTTTGTCTAGCTCATTGTGACATAAACAAAAACAGTAATTAATGTATATAATAAAATTCCCAATACTGAAGGCTCCTTATCATGCTGACTAAGCCTAGGAGTGTTGATCCTACCATGTGTACACACATCGGGAATCAGGATATGATTTTCCTAGATGTCAGTAGCTCCCACTGAGGTTTCATCCATGGGCGGTCTGTTTCAGGAAAAGAAATATAGGTCCTCATGTACCTGTTGACTTTGAGCAGGCATAATACATGAATCTAGACAGATTTGTCACTGTCCTTGAACCCTAGGGAACATTAGCCATGATGTTCAAGTTTCAGTTTTGAACAAATTACTAGTGGAATCAAATTAATCTTCCTTGAAAACACTAGCACACTCTAATGTTAATGTTAGAGATTATAACATTAACAATGAAAACGCTTATTACAGCTCCTAGAACTAATTAGGATTTTATGCCTGCTGTCAGTTTTTAGAAGTTTTATTTGAAGAAAAGAGTACCGAATCAGTGTCCATATTTGGTCATTTTAAGTATCAAATGTATTAAATAAAATTGATAAAATCTTGAAGAAGAAAATGAAATTGTATTTTTATAAGAAATATTCGCTAAAAAGGTTCACTGTTTTGTATTTCTCTTTTTACAAAAAACTTTATTTACTTATTAGTTGAGTTTGTACTTATGAATATTTGATATTATTCTTATATATAAATTGCAATATATTAGTCATTTTTTTTACATGTAACATATTTTATAGGTTGGGTCCTAAAGAAGATAGGCCATATCCATTCTATGTCTTTGGTTTTGCTATCATTTGGTGTGAGATTCCTCTTGTATTCTCTTCTTATTAACCCATGGTGGGTGCTTCCAATAGAGTTCCTAAATGGTCTTACGTTTGGGCTGGCTTATGCTGCAATGGCTTCCTATGCTAGTATCGTAGCACCTCCTGGCACTGAAGCAACTACGCAAGGACTTGTAGGTGCTGTTTTCGAGGGATTAGGTACAACATTTAACTGTTTATTAAGTATAATTTTTTTTACTCTTGTTTTTTATTAAATATGAATTAAATTTAGGTGTATCCTTGGGAAGTTTCATTGGTGGTTTACTCTTTGATAAGATGGATGGATCTAAAGCATTCCAACTGTTTGGGATTGCGGCAGCTGTTTGTTGTTTCCTTCACTCAGTTGTCCAGCACTTTATTACCAAACGTACTACAGTTTTACACATACATGAAAAAGGTAAGTTTACGCAAATTAACAAATATTTTAATGATAAAAAGCTTTGCATTAGTGTAGAAAACTTTTGACAACAAAAGTTATGTTTTTCAATATATTTACTAAATTTTAAAAATATTTTGTTAAAGGTTTTTTTGTATTTATTTATTGTTAAGAATATAAATTTAAAAGTTATTCAGAAATTCATTGCTACTAAAACTTAAAACGATTTAAAAATATTTTTTTATTATACTTCAGATGATGTTCCGTTGAAGCTTATATTATATTTAATTCCAGTTTTTCAGTATTTGTTATGAGGGCATAATTATTTCTATTGATAATTTTTATATACCACTTTTATTAAAATTTAATTTGTTTTTCGGTATTGTGCTGCACAGTGGTGACTACTCCATTGTTGAAGGGTGAGTTGATGTTAATTTAGGGCATTGATTTATTGGGAAAGCTTACTAATTTTTGTTCAATCGTGGGATGGTGTTTGATAAACTTATAGATGAGGTTTAGCTGCAGCAACTTGCAACATCATGTGCTCTTAGAAGTAGCTGCATTAAAAATAGATCTTACAAAACTGATTTCAAATGATTTTTTTTCCCATAAGTCATGATCATCAAACACTTATACATATAGTTGTATTTTTTTAAAATTATAAATAGATTTTCTCTTTATTTTGAAAGAATGAATGGTCTATTGATTTCTTTCATATTTGGAAATTATTTCATAAATATATTGCTGTTGGGAAATGAAGTTTTTCTCGGCATCTTTTTATTTTTCTTTGATGTTTATTTACATCAATGGTAGGTTTGAAGTAAATTACATTTTAAGAATTTTTCAACATTTTTTTGGCAGTAGGAAATTTGTTGACCTAAAAATGCTAATTGAATAGTATTCTTATCCCTGTTGACTCCATGATGTTTGGTTAGAGGAAAAGAGCTGTGAAGTCGGTTACTTTAAAAAGAGGACAAATAGTTTACAGTGCACCTTTTATTTGCCTGCATAAATGTGTGTCTGGAACTGATGAAGAGTGGGATCATTGTCTATCAGAACAATTAAAATGGTTCTGTATTGCTATGTTCCTGGCCTCGCGTTTCTACGGCGAGTAAGGGGTTCCAGGAACCGCATTTATTTGTATTTATATGTATTTATATCGGTCCCAGAAGGGAACCGATCAACTTAAAATATATTAATGATGTATTTAAATGTTAGATACCACAGACCCCCTACTGTAGTATCCTAGATTGAACCATATACTCTTTATTGGATTTCCTTTCTAAAGGTATCATGTTTATAAATTTACTATTTGTTTCTATTACTAATTGGTGGCATGCAAGGTAGAATGTAAAAGTACTACGTTGGTTTACTAACTATTATATTTACAAGCTTAAATAAAACCAACAACATCTATATACAAAATAATAACTAAACCTATATACATAATGAATAGTTAAGAATCATACTAGAGGAGAATGCTTGATGTATTGATTTTATTAATTAATGATGTATGGTTGCCAACACAAATTTACATTAGTATAACTAAATGCTTGTTACCACTTAGCTGGTCCTTCATAGTGTTTCTAGCTGTCATATCTGGATTCCCTGTCTCTGCTCTCCTTCAGCGTCTAGTCCGTCCATCTGCTCTCTCCGGCTGTCTTCGTCTTCCTCCCTCGACTCCTCCGCTTGAAGTCCCCAGAAGAAGTCCTCTCAGCTCCAAGTTCCAAGAAGAAGTGTTCCGTCCAAATTCTCTATCTCCCACCTTTTTTCATCCCCCTCTCTTTTGGCAGTCTTTTTCCTTATTGGCTGAATATTCTCAGCCTAAGGGATGACCACGCCCTCTCCCCCAGGCCAAGGTAAAGCAGCAGGTACAGACTTAGGTATTTCTGGTGGAAGGTGTGAAAAGGTCTTTCGGGATCCTGTTTAAACACTTAGTTGTTGGTCTTTGTCGGTGGTCCTTAAATGTTTTTATTACCACTTACAAAAGGTTGTCCTAATGGGTTACCCTCAGTCAGGTACCGCCAGATGTGAACACTTTTAAATGTTTATTTATACATTTAAAATAATTATTCCACCGGCGGTCTTTACAATACATAGCAGTATCAAATATTGCCATAAAAATCACATTTGTATATCACAGACTATCTACTTCCAGTGATGCCACATCAAGGCCTCGTCCGCAACAGCTTACCAAACCTCGCACCGCCAAAAGATTAGCAACTCATACCAAGTTTAATTTCCAACTCTTACCCCATATCTGGCTACGTTAATGCTCTGACCATAATAACACCTATCATCAACAGTTTATTTTGAGTTTAATACAGTTTTTATGCAAATAAAGCATCCATTATTTTACATATTTGGAGAATATTATAGCGCATATTTAGTCAATGAAGAAACTTAACATTCTAAATAAAAATAGATTTCAAAATATAAAAACTTTATATTGAAAGTATTTTAACACATAAACAAGAAATTCAGTGAATTTTAGGATAGTAAGTACCTGAAGCCAGAAATTTTTAGAGTTTAAATCATTATTACATCTCCTAATAAAATTATTTTAATTAATATGTAAATAACAAAAATTAAATCACTGCGAGGTTGATAGATTGCCATTGTGTCAATAAAAAAAGACCTTTTCAGTCTCAATATATTTTTTTTTTTTTTATTTTTTTTTTGGCCATAAGCATGTCGACCCCTACTGGGTCCATTGTGCGCCAATTTCAGTTAGTCGTTTTGTTAAAAACGCCAATCCTGTCGCTTCCGCGTATCTAAGTAGGCTGATTGGATTGACCGACTCATATCTTCTGGGGAGATCCATCTGTCCCTCCCCAAATACCACCAGTCTCAGCCTTATAAATCTATCACATCTGCATATGATGTGAAAAGGTGTTTCATTCTCCTCCTGACAGAATCTGCATAGCGGTAGGTTTGCAGTAGGTTTTGTACACAATGGCAGATTGCCAGTATCTCAGATTGAAACACTGAAGCATACCTGCCAAGTGGTATAGAAATTTTTTCTTTTATATCTTTGCGATAGATGCCTGTTCCAAAGCCGAAGGCTGTTAGAGAGCCATCTGTATGGCAATTTATTCCACTATTTGGTTTATGACTTCTGCTGCTATCTATCCCAACCTTATATTTTCGGTCCTGATATTCTCGGATTAGAGTGTCAGAGTGCATAGCTAGTACTCCTTCACATCCAATCCTGTTCAGCAGTATTGTGTGTCCTCCTTGACAGGGGACTGGTGAACAGTAAGTTGACTTGCTTAACCTGTACAATGTATTTGTTGCCCGAGCCTTCACCTCCAGCTGCAGCGGAGGCATGCCCAGCATCACCTCCATGGCAGCCGTTGGTGTCGTGCTCATCGCGCCTGTTATCATTATACAAGCAAGCCTTTGAATCTTTCCTAATGAGGATAAGTTGGCCACAGTCTTTGCTTTGTGCCACCATAGCAAAGCTGAGTAAAGTATGATAGGTCTGACTGTCGTTGTGTACAGCCAGTATACCATTTTTGGTTTTAGTCCCCAATTCTTTCCTATCGCTCTTTTACAGGCCCATAGGCATTTGAGGGCTTTACTTGTCACGTTTTGAACGTGTTTAGTCCATATGTTTATGGTCCAAAGTGACTCCAAGGTGTTTTACTTCCTTACTCAGTGTCAATTGGATACCATTAATTTCCGGCATTTTAATAGCTACCTTCTTCTTCTTATTGAAGATACACACATTGATTTTCCTAGGGTTGATGCTTCAGTCTACTAATACTTATTATAGTCTCTTTCCCAAGATCATCTTTTAAGTATATTGTCAAAGATGTTTTGTGATAGTTGTAAAAAAAAGACTTAAAATTTGTTCTTATAACTTCTGTAAATCTGAGCATTGATATATTTTTTTTATTGAATTCTTTTAGAATAAAATAAGTGATTTATTTTATTATTTAGAATTTAGTAAGTGATTAAGTGATTTATTAAACAAATTTCTAAATTTACAATATTCTTAAGCAATATTAGGCTTTATTTTTGCTTACTTTTTTCTGTAATTTTTTAAACTATTGTATAAATGATTAATTCTTTGCCAAAATTATCTTGATATCATAGCCTAAAATAATTTAATATAAAGCCAAAAAAATTATTACTCATTTATACTCATGCTTCTCTTTTTTTACCCTTAAGATAGGGATATAATTTATTTTTTTTGTAATTTAATATGCTAAAAGATTGTGTGTAATACTGCTGTTTATTATCTGCAATCAAGTATTTTAAGAATTAAAAATAAAAACAAAATTCTCATTTATACACTAAATTAACTTATTTATACTATTATAAATTATTTAAAAAAAAAAAGAAATTAACCTACTTATTTAAAATCTATTGGCAAACATTCTCCTTCATGTAATAATTATACACATTTCATAATAAATATTAATAATATTGATATAAAATATTAACAGTATTGATATAAAATATTATCAGTTTTAATATGAAATATTAACAGTATTAATATTAAATGTTAACAGTATTAATATAAAATATTAACAGTAATAATATAAAATATTAACAGTATTAATATAACATATTAACAGTATTAATGCAAAATATTAACAGTTCTAACATAGAATATTAACAGTGCTTATATAAAATATTTTTTAAAAAAACCTGTTGTGCTACTACCCATGAAGGGTTTTAGGTTCAGTACTTTGCTAGGAAGAATATAAAATATTAACAGTACAGTAACAACATCTCTCCCATCCTCCCTATCAGCTTCTCCATTGTCAGATTTCCATTCCTTTTTTCATTTACTCCGATACTCTAAATCCAACAATTCTTTTCATATAATATTGTTCCAAAGGAACTTATTCTGGAATAAATAAATAAAGAATTATTATATTATTATTTATACTATGAAATGTATTTACAGTGTTAGTAAACAGTACAATATGTTCAGTGATACGTTACTTTCATCTAACATTCTGAATCTTAAATACCACAAAGAAAACCCTTTTAGATTTTCACTTACCTAAATAGGAAACAGTAAAGGAAAGTATTGTGATTGTGAAAATTTTCGAATAACAGTTATCAATAGAAATACACGTTTTGAGGTTCTCTTGAGTCCAAATGACTAAGTCCCACAAAATGTTCTGTGTATGTTTATTAACAGTCTAGGTCAAAAACAAAAATAACAGCAACTTTTTTATCAAAATTGGCTAACCGGAAGTGTCATTTATATCATCGATTTTAATCACATTTTTAATGATTTTGATTAAATTCATTACATCACTGTAAAATTAAGTAGCTTTTAACATAATGTAGGTGTTATTCTAATTGATGTTCTCTAATGTGGCTTAAATGGCTAATTTTCAATATTTCCCCCTCTAAAGTATCTAAAGGGGAGCGGGGTAGCTCAGTGGTAGGGCAC